GACCTGGAAGGGGCAAGTTCAAATGCACACCCGGTGGTTTTATTTTCTTCTCCCGACTCTTCTGTGATTTTGGCAATGGGCGCGCACTGTTCTTAAGAGGAGGGGAGATTTTAAGGAAAAGAGAGAAAGAATGAAAGGAAAGGAATACACAAGAAAGGAAGGAGGGAAACGGAAGAGAGGAAGGAACAGAAAGATGAAGAGGTGGACGGGAGACGGAGGAAGGGAAGGTGCTGGTGGCGAGGGGCGCCGAAGCCGGGGCGAACGCGTGCGCAGGGGAAGGCGCCGCGGGGTGCAGCGCCCGGAGCTCGAGTCTCGGTCCCAGAGCCGAGGGTGCAGCTTTGCGGGGAGGAGAGGTGCTCAGCGGGTCCAACTGGACCCCCAAGAGGCAGGCAGGTTCGCGGAGCGCCAGGGCGTGCACGCGGGCCCCGGCCGCCCTCCGCTCCCTCCCAGCCCCCCAACTCCCACCCGGGCCAGCGCCCGCTGGAGGGGACGGCGGGCCCTGCCCATCTCCCGCCAGGCCCCCGCCGCTTTCTACGTATTCCTCCTGGGGGTTTCGGGGTGAGAAGCTGCGCGCCGGAGGAGGTGCCCAAATACCATCTGTGCCATTTTTCAATTTAAATACTTTTAAAGCCACCCGCCCCGGGTGTCAGTTTCAAAAAGTTTTCACCGAGGAGCGGCGTGGGGCTGGGCGCGGGACTGGGGGCAGCCTCGGGGGTGCAGGGGCCTTTCTCTTCCCTCCCGGTGCTGCGCCCCACTCGCGCGCGCAGACCCTTCTCCGTGCGCGCGCCCCACACCCGGCCGAGGCGCTCAGGGATCCTCCGCCCCTCCCCACCCGGACGGTCCTCAGTTCTCCGGCCCGGGACGTTGGCCTGTCCCACGGCTGTCCCACTCCCCCCACTCGGGACCCCGGACTCCCGCCACAGCGCCCTTTCCTCTGTCTCCTCCCGCGCCCTCTCCTGCTCCAGGTGTCACTAGCAGAGGGAGGTGGGGCCGTGCTAACCCCTGGGTCCCGGCGTTGCCCCCAGCCAGGGGGCAACAGGGGAGAGAGTGAGGCGAGGTTTGCGTGGGAGCCCCTGGCCTTGACTGCCGGAGGCGATTTGTGCAAAACGTCGCGACCCCCTCGTCGCCAGCCCCCGCGCACCCCCCTCTCTCTGGCCTCTCTCCCTCCCCCATCCTCGCTCTCCTCCGCTTTCCGGCGCTTTGGGGATGGGAATGGCTAGGCTTGAACTTGGGGAAGCTGAGGAGGGTCAAAAGGAGGGGAGCCCCTGGGAGGGGGCGCNGAGGCACTACTGCAGGGGCAGCTGTAACTGTGCCCGTGAGTGTGCGTGCGTGTGCAGGGACAACTGTAACTGTGTGTGTGCATATGTGTGCAGGGGCAGCTGTGTGTGTGTGCGTGTGCAGGGGCAGCTGTAACTCTGTATGTGTGCATGCCTGTGTGTGCAGGGGCAGCTGTCGCTGTGTGTGTGTGCATGTGTATGCACAGGGGCAGCTGTAGCTGTGTGTGTGTGCATGGGTGTGTGCAGGGACAGCTGTCGCTGTGTGTGTGTGCATGGGTGTGTGCAGGGACAGCTGTAACTGTGTGTGTGTGCATGGGTGTGTGCAGGGACAGCTGTATGTGTGTGTGTGCATGGGTGTGTGCAGGGGCAGCTGTAACTGTGTGTGTGTGCATGGGTGTGTGCAGGGACAGCTGTAGCTGTGTGTGTGTGCATGGGTGTGTGCAGGGGCAGCTGTAACTGTGTGCGTGTGCATGGGTGTGTGCAGGGGCAGCTGTAGCTGTGTGTGTGTGCATGGGTGTGTGCAGGGACAGCTGTCGCTGTGTGTGTGTGCATGTGTATGCACAGGGGCAGCTGTAGCTGTGTGTGTGTGCATGGGTGTGTGCAGGGACAGCTGTCGCTGTGTGTGTGTGCATGGGTGTGTGCAGGGACAGCTGTAACTGTGTGTGTGTGCATGGGTGTGTGCAGGGACAGCTGTATGTGTGTGTGTGCATGGGTGTGTGCAGGGGCAGCTGTAACTGTGTGTGTGTGTGTGTGCATGTGTATGTGCAGGGGCAGCTGTAACTGTGTGTGTGTGTGCATGGGTGTGTGCAGGGGCAGCTGTAACTGTGTGTGTGTGTGCATGGGTGTGTGCAGGGGCAGCTGTAACTGTGTGTGTGTGGGTGTGTGCAGGGGCAGCTGTAACTGTGTGTGTGTGTGTGTGCATGGGTGTGTGCAGGGGCAGCTGTAACTGTGTGTGTGTGCATGGGTGTGTGCAGGGACAGCTGTAGCTGTGTGTGTGTGCATGGGTGTGTGCAGGGACAGCTGTAACTGTGTGTGTGTGCATGGGTGTGTGCAGGGACAGCTGTAACTGTGTGTGTGTGCATGGGTGTGTGCAGGGACAGCTGTATGTGTGTGTGTGCATGGGTGTGTGCAGGGGCAGCTGTAACTGTGTGTGTGTG